TCGGAAGAGTGGGGATTTGAACGCACGCAGTCTACTCTAGAGCTAGAGGGGATATTCTTAAGAATATGCCTTATTACTTTTTGCAATGAAATTGCTGTGACCAGAGGAAGCAAGATGGGATCTCCGCAAGTAAAATTTACTTGCTGAGAATGTTACTCTGTTTCTAGAGAGGCTTTCTGATGTATGGATGCGTTTCAACTTGATTTTAATGCTCTGTCCATTCAATCAGCATTCCATGTAGTCCTTACTACATAGAGTCTTCATTTTATTCACTTAGTTTCTAAGATGTATTTCACTGAACAGTCCATAACTTTGGGATGAGAGGGAGTTTTTCTTTTAAAAAAAAAACCACTATTACAATGTTCAAATATGCATATTTGGAAAGAAAAACTGCTGTACATTTACACTTAAGCACATTCTTTAAAACTACTCATTTGTTGAGGGCAGCAGTCAAAATACTCAATTATCCATTGTTAAGTGGAAGCAATCCATTAAAGTTGTGTTTAGCCTGACCTTTTTATATGTAATCGCACTTCCATGAGTCTAAGTAAGAGGGTGTTTTTAGAGTGCTTATTTTGCATGAACTTCATCTTCTTGCGAAATTTTTCAGCTATACTCTAGGGTATAACACGGTCATGAACTAAAGTCTCTTACGTTACGCAAGCTTTGTTTCCACTGACAGTTGATGCTTAGCCATACTTATGTCATTTTTTTCCCTGACTGTCAAAACAGCAGAGGTCAGAATTTTTGCAAGTTCCAAGATTCTCTAAAAGAATTTAGAAAAAGAAACTCTTCAGTTTAAGGGATATTTTAAGTAGAGGGGAAAATTAAGGATAAGTTAACCTAGTTATCAAACAAATCAGGATTCCATTCTTTCCATCCAATTAAGATAATTACCTAACATGGGTATATTCAGTGCGTGGCTAATTTTATTGTGCTACCTCTTTTCACAATCATGAGGCTAGATTGTAGAGGCAAATGTGACAATTAAATGAATATCCCAATATGCGTGAGGAATTTGCGACACAGAACCAAAAGGAATGTAGTTTGACTTACAGCTTTTTAATGTTTTGCTAAGTTTGTTATTACTGCTCTTCTGTGCCACGTTTATTACATTTCACAACAATATGGTAGTGACAGAATCAAAAACTTATCTACTGAGCAAAAGGAATTTTATAAGATGGAGAGGGAAGAATTATTTCTTTCATGGGAACTGGAGGATTATTTTCAAAGGTCTTTTGTGCTAGATATTTTCTGTTTGCGCCTCCAGAGACGCCATCCTCTTTCCTTCCTTCCCCACTGGGCTGTATCCCAGGATGCTGACCTCCATGGAAGGCATCCATAGGCCCTCTTGCCCCCCACCCCCTTGCCGGGCTAAGGGCTGGCAGCGGCTGCCCCTCCTCCAGCCAGTCCTGCAGCCCGCTTCTCCATTTCCTCTCTCGGTTCCCATAACCGCTCCATTCTCTTACCTCTTCAGTCTAAGGGTGGGAACAGCTCTCCCTTTCTGCCAGCTCTGCGTACTTCACCAGCCCTTTCTCCTCCCTCCACCCTTCACTGAACTCTTCTCAATCACTCCATTTGAACAACACGGAACCTGATGAATACACAAGTCAGTGTGGCTATCTTCGTTCCTTTAAACGTCTGTTCTAGTAACTTCCATATGATTTTCTGATGCTTGACATTATAGCATCAGAGAGACAGCAACTGACAAGGGTTCAGGCTTTGGAGTCACCTGGATTTGAATCCCAGCTCTGCCACGAGCTACCTCTTTGAGGCTCCATTTCCTCATCTATAAAGGAAAATGATAAGCTACCCATTTAGCTTATCTCAGGGTTCAATGAGATGACACACATAAAGCGTTGAGACAGCGCTTGGCAATCAGCGGAGCTGTAGCTGTGGACACTATCAGCGTCAGGGCTCCGGAGAGGGCTGATGTCCTCATACCTGTTTGGAAACGTAGGAGGTGCTGGTGTTGACACAGACGAGGCTCTCTTCATTGCAGCAGCCGCCACACCGGAACACGTTCACGCAGGGGGGCTTGAAGAACGTGTCAGTGCTTCTCCCCAGCTCGCCGGCCACCTCCACGCACGTCTCTCGAGGGCTGCACTGCGTCCTTTGCCATTCCTCATCTATAACTGCGGAGAGGCAGCTTGTTGGGCCAGCGGAACAAAGGGCCCTGACATGCCCACGGATGCCAGGGTTACACCCAACACCGTCATTCTCACACGTGCAGCGTTTGGTGATTTCACTAGATGGGTATTTGGGGTCAGTCCTTTAACCAAGGATTGTCTGCAGAAAATTTACAACCAAAATCTGCATTCCTTCCCATTTATACGATCCCTTCGTAGACTCTAATTCTACTTTCCGTTGGTGATGAACACCATGCTCTGGATATAACTACATCGGGTACATCTGGAGAAGCCTGCTAATAAGGAAGTAAATGGGGCTTCCCCGGTGGTGCAGTGGTTGAGAGTCCGCCTGCCGATGCAGGGGACAAGGGTTCGTGCCCCGGTCTGGGAGGATCCCACATGCCGTGGAGCGGCTGGGCCCGTGAGCCATGGCCGCTGGGCCTGTGCGTCCGGAGCCTGTGCTCCGCAACGGGAGAGGCCACAACAGTGAGAGGCCCGGGTATCACACACACACAAAAATAATAAGGAAGTAAATGGAAGCACATAAAGCAATGACATGTAAGCATTATTTACTAAGCAATTTACAGGACACAGCTGGATAGCATTTCTTCTCCTTGAAGCCAGGTGTGGGCAGGTTTTAGCACCATTAAGAGATACGTTTTGGGAATTCCCTGGTGGTCCAGTGGTTAGGACTCCAGGCTTTCACTGCCGAGGGTGCGGGTTCAATCCCTGGTCGGGGAACTTAAGATCCCACAAGCCGTGCAGTGCAGCCAAAAAAATAAAAAATAAAATTAAAAAAAAAGAAATACCTTTCTATTGGTTGCTTAACGAATTATATACGGCAAACACATGAATGAAAAGTTAAGTGGGGGCTTCCCTGGTGGCACAGTGGTTGAGAGTCCGCCTGCCGAGGCAGGGGACACGGGTTCGTGCCCCGGTCCAGGAAGATCCCGTGTGCCGCGGAGCGGCTGGGCCCGTGAGCCATGGCCGCTGAGCCTGCGTGTCCGGAGTCTGTGCTCCGCAACGGGAGAGGCCACAACAGAGACAAAAAAAAAAAAAAAAAAAAAAAAAAAAGTGGAACTAATCTTTCCTCAAGTCAGAGTGTTCTCATTTGCAAATGCCCAATACTGATGTTTCTATCAAATGATGAAATAAGCTGGTTCCCTTTTTTTAAATAAATTTATTTATTTATTTATTTTTGGCTGCGTTGGGTCTTCATTGCTGCGCGCGGGCTTTCTCTAGTTGCGTTGGGCAGGGACTGCTCTTCGTTGTGGTGCGTGGGGCTTTCACCACGTTGGCCTCTCTTGTTGTGGAGCTCGGGCTCTAGGCACACGGGCTTCAGTAGTTGTGGCACGTGGGCTCAGTAGTTGTGGCTTGCGGGCTCTAGAGCGCAGGCTCAGTAGTTGTGGCGCACGGGCTTAGCTGCTCTGCGGCACGTGGGATCCTCCCGGACCAGGGCTCGAACCCGTGTCCCCTGCATTGGCAGGCAGACTCCTAACCACTGCGCCACCAGGGAAGCCCAAGCTGCTTCATGTTGATGAAAGGAGCAATATTCTGGCCATTCTAGCTAATTTGTGGGAAACAAGAAAAACAAACAAGCCTCGGAGAATCAAAAAAGATTACATATATTCTTGTAAAACATACTCGCCTTTCTCTCAAAGTTTATTTTTTTTAAATTAGATTTTGATGCTGTGATACTTAATGTTGCATAGCCTTTCTATGGATGTTTTTGGGAAATGATTCAATTTTATGATAAAGACAATATTTAAAGACCTTCTTTTAGTTTGCCATGGAATTGTGGAGTTGATTATACACTGGGGTGGAGGAGAATGGTGAAAACCCTTAGTGGTTGGCAGCTTCTAATCTGACCCTCCATCACGCCCACCTCCTGGTGTTCACACCCTGTATAATCCCCTCCTCTGCGTGTGGGCTGGACCTAGTGACCCGAATGTTATGAAGAGAATACAGCAAGAGTGACGGGATGGCACTGCCACGATTAGGTTAACAAAGACTGATTTCCATCTTGCTAGCAATCACCATCCCTCGCTGGCACTCTTTTGCCTTCTCAGCTTGCAGGCTTGGATGAAGCAAGCCATCATGTTGAAAAGGCCCACACGGCAGGGAACTGAGGGTGGCCTCTACCTAACTGCCAGTGTGGAGCTGGGACCCTCAGTCCAACAGCCTGTCTGGAACTGAATCCTGCCAACAACCTCTGAGTGAACTTGGAGGCACATCCGGCCACAACTGAACCTTGAGATGCTGCCTGTGACCCAAGTTGCCACCTTGACTGCAGCCTCCGGAGAGACCCTGAAGGAGAGATACCAATTGAGGCTATGTCTGCAATTCTGACCCACCGAAACTGTGCGATTAAAAATGTTGTCTGAAGCAGCTAAGTTTTGGGGTAACGTGTTACACAGTGATAGATAAACTCCTCTCCATCTTTACCCCATCTTCAAAAATTTGTAAATGGTCTCTGCCCAGATTCTGAATTCCCGTATATGTGAACGTGTTTCTATCAGAAGGGATAGAGAGAACTTCTATCTGGAGGATACAGATAAAACACTATTGTTGCAGATCTGACACTAGTCTCTAAATTATTCTCTTAAAACATCTTTTCCACAGCCTTTTTCCTTTTCTGCCCATTAATCTCAGATTTCCTCATATGTTGCTTTCTTCAATCACTGAAAACACAAAATACATTTGGCTGGCTGAAAAGCACTGCATATACTACACAATTTACCTAAACTCTGTTTTTTCATCATAAAATCTTCTAGTCCAAGAAACCGTTTAAAATATCTGATTATGAATATTTATATACAGAGTCTGAAGGCTGTAAACATGAGAGATAAATTACCCAGTTAGGTACTATTTAATTCACTATTATTAATCATAAATCCTTGAAAAAACAAGTAATCAAGCTATAAAAACATTCCTTGCTTAAAATGCTATTTAAATGTTGCTTCCTATTTTCTTTTTTATAAAACTGAGTTTTCAAAGTCAGAACACTGTGTGGAACTATAACCAATGACACTGAGCAAAGGCTTCATACCTCTACTTTCATTACTACTGCCCAGCAGGACTGCTCTTCCTCAGGGAATTACCCTGAAATCCATGAGGGAGAGTTATAACAAATTATAATTGGGATACCACCCCGATTTAATTATTTGCTGCTTCTAACTTACTAAGTAACTTTAGATGATTCCCCCCCTCCACCACGTAACAAGAGACATTTTAGAGTTGGCAAATTCCACATTAATGTTTTTAAAAAATATTTAAAGAAATTTTTTATGGTTTCCTCCTTAGAAAATGTCAATTTCGACATGAATGACTTTTAAAAATCACCTCCTCTTGGTTTTATGGTAGTGTTTCTCTATCTCCATCTTCACAGAGCATCTCCAGGCTTGCCTCAGGCCTTCAAACAAGTAATCTGGTTAAGGCCCTGAATCTCCAGATGAGGTCTGATCCCTTTACTTTCATGAAGTCCTTGCTAATTCACCACACAGAAACAACTAGAGCTTCAGACCTCTGGCTAAACTGGGTTCTAGGCCATGGTTCCAACCATCTCATTTAGACACAGTCATACAGATGCGCACCAAGCATCCTCTTCACTCCCGGGCTCTGGTGCTACTAAGGTATTGATCCCACCTATGCACAGCCTTCCCCGCAGCCAACAATATCGTCCTTTTACAAACGGAAGAAAATAAAGATAACTCTACAGAGAAAGAAAAAAATAATTTTGGCTGAGCAGTCAATTTAAACTATGCAATAGCTACAATCCGATACCAGGTAATCATATGTTAATCAAATCTAAAATGCGAAATCATCACTGCCACGGTGGTTTCTTCTGCTGTTTTGACACATCATCAAAAAAGTTAAATGCCTAATTGGAGGCCGCACAACTGTATTTGGCAAGCATGTCATTCATCATATGACAGTACATACAGACAACAGTTTGCTTATAAAGATCCTCCAAACCTTACTAGGGAAGAGTCATTCTCTTTATTTCAAATCATGTTATTTTCTAGTCCAGCGTCTGGATTCTTTTGTCTAGAGAATTTCCCCCTCCATTATTCTGCTAGTAATACCAATATGCATTATTCCAACTCAGCTTCTAAATTCTACTTTTCATTTTTACTTTAAAAAAAAATCACAGCATTTTGAAGACATAAAAAAGCTATACCTAATCTACTGGTTTTTATCCATGTATGTATGGCCGTAGAATGCTCCTTATTAATGAATACCCAGGTTGTTTTATTTTTTTAAGTAAACTCAATTTTTTTTTTTTCTATTAAGAACAGGCTTTCTGGGTTCCTTTTGCCCTCACATCTCTGAGTTAAATATATTTCCATATTGGGAAGTGTTATTTGGTGTTGAATTTTGATCTCAAAATCATATTGGGTATATTTCTCTGTGGAGTAAACGCAGGAAACCAGGACTCTCCACTAACACTGAAGCTATGAAATCAAAGACCCCGTTTTTTTTTCTCCCAGACATGTGCCCGCCCTACTCAAACTTTTAGAAGAAGTTGGCGCATTTGTTACTGTCTGATAAAGAGTAAGAATTGGCCTCCACACGCACACACCTACCTTTGAGCGTCTCAATGTCATAGAAAGTGGCCGCAAACCTGGTGGACCGATGGGATGCCGAGCGAGAGTCCGCGCTGGTGAGACTTTTGAGCTTCAGTCGGCATCTCCACAGCTTCCAGTCCTCGAAGTGGGTGATCTGCAGTAGTTCCTCCAAACCCGAAGCCGCCCTAATCTGCTGCTCAGATTGTTCTAACATTGACCGGGATGCCCGCTTAAAGAGAAACAAAACAAACAAAAAAACTAGCTTACAGGCAACTTACTCAAGTTCCAGTTTGTCTTGATAATATTCATTGCTAACACTTACAAATGTAAGTAGAGCTAAAAAGAAATTAGATTATTCAAATGGACACCAGTACCTAGGAAAAATGACATCTAGTAGTTTTGATTTACATTCTGTTCATTTATGATTGATGGAATGACTTATTCCCCCTGGGTTCTCAGAACACCTAAAGACAGTATCGTAGTGGGTTGAATGGTGGACATTTAAATGACATGCCCACGTCCTAACCCCCAGAACCTGCAAATATGACTTTTTTTCCGGAAAAGGATCTTTGTAGATGTAATGAAGTTAAGGATCCTGAGATGAGGTCATCCTGGATTATCTGGGTGGACCTTAAATACAAAGATAATCATCCTTATAAAACACAGGCGAGGGAAGACACAGACACAGAGCAGAAGGATTTGTGAAGCCAGAGGCAGAGACTAAAGTAACGTAGCCACAAGCCAGGGGTCACCTGAAGCCACCAGAAGCTGGATGACTCAAGGAATGATTCTTTCCAAGAGCTGATGGAGGGAGGATGGCCCTGCTGACACCTTGATTTTGCAACTGGATTCCAGAACTGCGAGAGAATAAATTTCTGTTGTCTTCGCCATCAAGTCTGTGGTAATTCAGTATGGCAGCCACAGGAAACTAAGACAGATTTTAAAATCACACTATTTTGTGCAGGAGCCAATGACAATTGTTTTCATCTGTTATTTGAGACACTGACCCACAAAGTCTTGGGGACCCTGCCTACAGTCACACAAGAAGGAAAGATTTTAAGAACCTGATAATCTGAATTTGCTGACTTCTAACCCTCTGAACTTTTTTTTCCTTTTTAAACCTGTTTACTATTCCAAAGACATGATTTTTTTTTTTCTGAAAAAATACACTTCTAGAGCTTACGTTGAAAACTTCCTTTCCACACAGTTGCATGAACTGTATTGACTGATACAACCCATGGATTTATGAGGAAAAAAAAGACTTGGCTGATAAAAGATTTTCAGTATGCAGTCGAATTGTTCAAAATTAGGGACTTGGTTATATAAATAATGATATATGCATACAATGAATACTATGTGATCGTCAAAACCAATGATGCAGATGTATACTGGGACAGAAGGAAGTGACTCCTCCCTGGAATGTGCTGGAGAGACAGTAAGGCAGTCTGTCTATGGTTAGGGACGTGGATTTTCTTCTGCTGAGCCTGTGGTTACTGAGTTTATGTTCTGCTGTGTGGTTTGCATACGCATGCTGTGGACTTTTTTTTTTTTTTAGAGCTGGGGTGAGGGAGGGGAGGGAGGGGAGAAACAGTGTAGCTGCAGGATGGTGCTGGGACAGGAAGGTGGAGCAAGAAGTGAATGTCAGCTACCTGACAGGGGGAGGGGCAGGGGGGGGAAACGGAGATAAGCAAATGGGACTTCCATCTGGACACTGGGTGGTGTGATGTACATCCTCCTCCACTGCCCCTCAAAAACTTTAGTTAAAATACGTATCATTTAGCAGTGTTTTGGGAGTGGGATTTTTTTTTCTTCTTTTAAAATTTTTATTGGAGTACAGTTGCTTTACAATGTTGTGCTAGTTTCTGCGGTACAGCAAAGTGAATCAGGTATACGTATACATATATCCCCTCTTTTTTGGATTTCCTTCCTATTTAGGTCAC